CCCGCCTCCCCCCTTTCCTTCCCCCACCTACCTTCAAGTCCCCTAGAAACATCATCCTCCCCTTGACCTCCATCTCGTCGTCACTGCTGTCGACCGCCTCCCTGTCCAGATCCTCCTCCTGCTCTCTAACCAACCCACTCTCCCTTCTCCCCCCTACCACGCCCCTCCTCTCCTCATCGAATCCACTTCCGCCCCCCGGCCCTTGATGAAGCGATATGTAATCTGGCGCAGCCTGCGCTTGCCTCATCCGCTCGCGCTTCGCTTTTGCGGCGCGGATGGCCTCCGCGTCGGGGATATGCGTCACCCCGCCGCCCACGCCAACTGCCCCCCCCGATGCGATGCCGAGAGCGGAGAGTCGGGACTCGACGCCAGCAGAGGTGGGCGCAAGACCGTCCGTCGTCCCCCCCGCGCCACCCACTATCCCCCTCTGCTCCATCCTCTCTCTCCCGCTCTTCATTCCCGCACTTTCCCCCCCTTCGTCTCCGCGCCTCTCCGCTATCCCCGCGGAACCGCTTGACGGCTTAAACCCGCCCTTCAAGACAATCAACGGCTCCGAGGGGCCGCGCGACGCCGGCGGCGGGGGAGGAGTGGTCAGCGGAAGCGCCAAGACCTCCATCTTCGTCGCCATTATCCCTTGATTGCCTGTTCCCCCGCCCCCCCCCCCTCCCCCTCCCCCTCCCCCTCCCCCTCCTCCCTTCTTCTTGCCATTTCGATGCAGAGCCCCTCCAACTCTTATAGTGTTCTTCTGCAGCTCCGCTAATCTCTCGGCAGTATACTCCCCCGCCTGCGGCTGGATGGTGGACACAGTCGGCGGCGCTGACGACCGGGACAATGACCCAAGCGCCTTGGGGCCATGATGCCCTCCTCCCAGGCTGGAACCGAATCCAACGCTCTTTTTCTTAATGGGTTTACCCGCGGAAGACCCGCCGCTCTTCGCCGTTACTGCCACGGTCATCTCCTCCTCCGCTTCGTCATCACCAAAGCTGAGAAGGCTTGCACCACCAAAGCTCTTCGGCTTCGCCTTCTCCTTCTTCCCGCCCCCAGCGGCACCACCTCCACCACCGGCTCCTAAGCTCTTTGTCTCCTCCTCCCCCTCGTCTCCATCATCCTCTTCAGCAGTCTTCCTCCGAAAATTTTTCCGCTTCGAGAACGCCGACATCCTTCCTGCTCCTCAACCCTCCCCCTGTGGTGTCCCAAACCTCTCTCTCTCTCTCTCTCTCTCTCTCTCTCTCTCTCTCTCTCTCTCTCTCTCTCTCTCTCTCTCTCTCTCTCTCTCTCACGTTAACACGATGAATCTCGACGTGTTCATTACGCCTCCTAACGGATCAACCAAATCTTCTACCAGCTTAGGTTAAGAGAATCCTAATGCACGACTTGGCTGCACCTGGACGTAATCAAGACCAGTTACACGGCGCTGGTTCATTCACCGGGATAGACGTCGGGCCTGCAATGTATTCCACGCACTCCCTGAATGAGTCCGCCGATCGTCCACAACTGCGAACCAATGAAACCCTGCTGCTGCTTCTGCTGCTGCTGCTGCTACTGCTGCTGCCTCCGTCACTACGCCGACACCGAGTAGCTCTTCCCTCGAGAATCCCAGCCTTGCTCCCATAATCCAGGTGCGATATGACCAGGAGAAACACTAGGCGTGACACGTGTCGCGCCCTCCGCCCTCCGCCCCCCCCCCTCTCCTCTCGAAGACGACGACCACCTCCAGCAAGCTCGATCATCGGCTCACCCTGTCTCGATCTGCGTCCGTGCTCACCCGCGCCTCGGTGAGCGGCACGGTGATCGGTTCACGCCCGGGCTTCGGTATCAAACCTTCAGTCCATCTGCTACCAACCCTGAACCCGCCTCCTCCGAACCGCGGGCTCTGCCCCGCCTACGCATTTTCGTTGTAGGAGGCTACCACGAAGCGACTGGCGGCCCTCTAGGGACCATCGATTTTTTGGTCATTTGGCAGCCCATGGTCCTTAGGCGCCCGCCATTCTCTTCGTTGTAGCCTCCCACAACGAAAATGCGCAGGTGGGACCGAGCCCCGGATTCGGGACAGGCCGAGCCTGAATTCATGCCAAGTAGAGGGGAGGTTGTGGCTGGCCCCGCTACCAGTTAGATGTGGACCCCACACCTTTGGGGCGAACGTCTGGAAGGCTTTGGAAAGTTTTCGGGGACGCCACAGGGCCGCCTCGGATGCGTTGGAGAGTAATAGAGGGCCGTTTCTTCATCGCTCACTTGAACCGCGCGAGGCGCGGGGGCGCAGCCAGGGCATATGAGATTGTAGTTTGGGGGGCTGTATGGACGATTGGACGATTATGCGGAGTTATGATTGGTAACTCTAAACAGTAGCACCTTGATGAAAATTTAAACTGAGGGCCTTGTTGTAGAGGGTTTTGAAATATGCCAAAAAAAAAAAAAGAATTTGTTAGAAGCCGATTAGATTTAATACAATTTGTTTGAGGTTGTATAGGGAATTCAAGATCGTTTTTGCATATTTTTTGAAAAGTATTTACATTCAAATATTCAAATAGTTCAACGTTGCAAGTGAAATAGAGTCGTCCATTAGGAGTTTAATGTTGCCAATGAAATACAAAAAATTAATGATAGTTGAAATGTAACGGGCAAAGTATCATTAGAAAAATGCAAATTTGTTTATAATCGATCTAAACATGAAAAAGGAAGAAAGGGAAATAGGAGGAAAGCAAAAGAAAAAAAATAAACATCAAGGGTATATAGTTCAACGTTGCAAGTGAAATAGAGTCGTCTATTAGGAGCTTAATGTTGCCAATGAAATACAAAAAACTAATGGTAGTTGAAATGTAACGGGCAAAGTATCATTAGAAGTATTTAATTGAGAGTCTCAATGAACTTGAAAAAATGCAAATTTGTTTATGTTCGATCTAAACATGAAAAAAGAAAAAGGGAAATAAGAGGAAAGGAAAAAAAAAAACTCAACATCAAGGGCATATTATGACTAATGTTTTTTTGAAGTGTATTTAAAATGTTAGAAAATGAATATAGTTGTAAGTAATTTTTTTTTGAAAAGTGTTGAAACATTATACAAATTATGATTTACTATTTTTGTAAGGGAGGGTTGTGTTTAGTATTTTTTGAAGAAACTATTTTATTTTGTAAATTGATATAGAACTAATGTACAGGAAGAGATTTTGTTAGGAGTAAGTAATGTATTTTTGAAACAAAAAAGAGGAAAATTTTACAATTTTGGAGATATTTTTGAAAACAATGTTAGGAGTTCTATATTATTGATTAAATAATTTATATAAATAATTGATTTTTTATTTGTTTTGATGAATAGAAATATGAGGCGTATTTGGTCGAAGTGGTAATGTATGGATTGGAAGAGGTTGTGGTATCATGTGTTGGAAATCAACATCGAATGTTAGTCCAGGAAGTTCTAATAATTTGTGGTGATTAGAAGTGTAATGGAATGTCATAGTTGTTCCTATTAGTGGAATGTCATAGTTGTCATTGTAATCATAGACTGCAGCTAATCGTAGCAATGGAATTATATCTTTGTATGTGTCTATATATTTTGAACTAAGTACTGTATGGATGTCCTTGATAGCCTCTCGTTGATCCATATCAGCCAAATACAACTTAGTCATGTGTTGTCGTCCTCTATGCAATATGCGATGATATACTAGAAGTTCAGTTTCCACAATTGGCAATGGCTGATACATAGGAAGAAATTGAAGATATCGCTCGAGGTCGATCGTTCTCGTGTGATGTATGCATCTTCCATGTTGTGTTTTGGACTCCATGTAGTCGCTTGATCTTGATGGTCTTTTTGAAGTTGTATTTGACCTGCCATGAAATATAACAAAAGAAGTTGAGTTATTTTATAGTTATAATATAAGGAAAAAATTATAAAATTGTATATAATAAGTTTATAGAAAAACGAGGAAATGATGGTGTGTATTATAGTGTTATGATTTAATTCATAATATATGTAAAAGTGAATAATGCATTGAAAGCTATAAAGGATGTAGAAATGAATCTGTGATGAGTAGTATTAATTAATAGAATTATAGTTCCGGGATGAGGAGCATCAAGAGTACAAATGATGTCGTTGATAATTGCGATACGAAGATTTTGAGGATTTGTTGGTAATGGTATGATATCTGCTAGGAAGATATATAAAGAAATAGCAGTTGTAGAGTGATAAGCAAGATAAGATAATACAATGCCTTCTTTATTGATTTCTATTCTATGATGAAGATTATATTGTTCTAAGTGTGTGCAAAGATTATCGAAAGATTGGTGAGTGATTGCCATAATATATAAGTATTGAATAGAAACAAGCAACTGGAGAAAAAGTAAACAACATGGAGAAACAGAAATTAGATGTAAGTATCATTATGGAGAAGAATGATTATACAAAACGAATTTTTGGGAGTATGAGTTGCAAGCATGGAAAGTTGAAAAAAATATTTTATATCGACGTTGCAGATTGAATTTTTTTTTTATGTTTTAATTAGTATTAATTATTATTAAAAAAAAATAAGATTTACAAATATGTAATTTTTAGCAATGGTTTAATTTTATTTATTGTTTTTATGGAATTTTGGAATGAGTATAGGAAAAGAAAAATGTAATGAAGGATTGAAATGTTATGTATATAGTAATTGAAAGTAAGTGTTTATAATGGTAGTGAACGATATAAAGAAATTATGATTGTATGGAATTAATATTATGAAGAAGAATAATGATATAAGATTTTGAACAGAAAAAGAAATAAGATTTTATTTGATTTTGATATTTGTTACCTTATAGTTTACGTTGCTGTATCTTGATCTTGTTGAGGATTCGAAGTAATCGTTGATGATGTATACGCAGAAGTATGATGATCATTTGGTGCTGATTGTACATTATCGAGCGCAATTCTGTGTGACGGAGGAGGCTCCATCGATCTCGTGTTGGCATTGAAACATGGATATCGTTGCTCATTTCATATATGAAATCTGTGACCCGTAGTACGATTGAATGTTAACAGAGTTTCGATCGTCGGCATAGCAAAATCTTCATTGTAGTCGTAAACAGTTCCTTTGCGCAGCACTGATAGTATATCGTTATATGTTGTTCCGTGGACATTTGTAAGTGTCCAATATATGTTGTCGACTTCTGCTTCTTGGTCTGTGTCAGCGAGAAGCATATCCACAACGAGTATGTCTCTTGTCCAACGCCATCTGAATTGTACGAGATATCCTCTATCCGTTATCACCAACGGTCCAGAAGGTGTTGCTCATTCGATAAATGTTTGTAGTTCACACATCTTGTTATGAATGATGCGTCCATGATTGCATTGATTTTTGCGCAGCTTCTTTGATATTTGTAGTACTTCGTCAATGGAAGGTCGTTTGCGTTTCAAATGTGTAGTATTTGAATTAGTGGTATTTGCAGTTGTATGTGATGTGCCAGAAGCCATTATCTGAATACAAATAAAAGAAGATGAGTTATTATTTGTGTACAAAAATTTAGGTAGGGGATAATATAAATTATTTGTTTTAGAAAGAAAAAGGAGAAAACAATTAAAATATTTAGAAAATAAAAAGTAAAAAGAAGAAGAAGGGTTAATGAAAAGTATTTCAAAAAAATGTAAAAAAAATTGTTTATTAAATTATGTTATAATAATATATATGATTTATTCAATTTCGAGTGATTGAAAAACAAATAATGCTAAATCATTACTATCATGATCAACTCGGAAAGCGCGCCGATATGTTGTGAAAGGTGTGAATTGTCGAATAGCTCGAGAAGGAAAATAAGAATATGCAGTTGGATATCGTACAATATGATTGAGTATGTAATAGAACCACGGGCCAGGGCCCCAGAAAAACCATTGTGCAAGAAAAGCAGGATTTTCAGGTGTATTGTGAAAAAAAACAAATAGTAAGTGTTCGAAAATATTAACAAGTTGTGTTAATGTATAAGAATCATATGTATAGTTGATGATGTAAAGTCGAAGTAAAGTTGCTCTGTAATGAGCTAGTTCGCTCGATACTGGAGTGACAAACGTACAAAGTGTGAGCGTGAAGACAGAGAAAAATATTATAAAGTTAGATAGATTTGCTCTGATGTAATTTGATAAATTTTCGTCAAATTCTTGTGTTGCACTAAAGGACAGAGAATGTAAAGGAGTGTTGTGAAATGTAATTAATGAAAGAAGAACGAATGAAAAGAATGAATGTGAGATTATTCGCATAGCAATGCTGATGTCAATGATGCAAAATGTTCTTTGGTCAGATTGAAAAGTGATTAGTGCAGAGTGGCGCCTAAAGTGAAAGAGTTGTGTATTATTTGGTGGGGCTTGATACGATGAGTAATATGCGTATTGTGCTTATGTAACTTCAACAAGGTTATAGTGACAATCAAAAAGAGATAATAGTGTCAAAGTTGAACGAAAAGGATCGATAACGAAAAAGTCGTTAAGGGCTGGTGGGATTATAGGATTGGGAATGTTACAATAATGTGCGCGACTGTATGTAATTCGAAATCCGTCTAATATATGTTATAGTGGAATTAATGTATTTGGTGG